ATGTCTGAGTTTGGTGAGTTGGACTCTGGGAGCTGATGATGTGAGAGCTCACAGATTCTGTGACTCTCCTAGGCCAACAATGGGATCTGTTTTCTGCGCTTTGATGACACCAATCCTGAGAAAGAGGAAGCAAAGTTCTTCACTGCCATCTGTGACATGGTGACCTGGCTGGGTATGGGCTGGGCAAGGCCTGGGAAGAAAGACCTGGGTCAACGGGCCTCTTGGGCTATGGCTTGCACTGAGTGTCGCTAACTGGTACTCATATTGTTTTTTTCTGCCCCAGGTTACACTCCTTACAAGGTTACATATGCCTCTGACTATTTTGACCAGCTGTATGCCTGGGCTGTGGAGCTCATCCATAGGTGAGGCCAGGGCCATCCTGTAGAGCCAGGTAGGCTGCCCAGGACATAGCCATCCTGGGTACTCACACCTCTTCCACTTAGGGGCCAGGCCTATGTGTGCCACCAGCGAGGAGAGGAACTCAAGGGGCATAACTCATTGCCCTCACCCTGGAGAGACCGTCCCATAGAGGAGTCACTGCTGCTCTTTGAGGTGGGGTTCTGGAGGGGCATTTGGATCTGGGTGGGCCAGAGTGCTAAGGAGGATATGCCCCTGTGCTGAGAGGCAGCCTGAGCCCTTGCTCCTGTCAGGCAATGCGCAAGGGCAAGTTTGCGGAGGGTGAGGCCACACTGCGGATGAAGCTGGTGATGGAGGATGGCAAGATGGACCCTGTGGCCTATCGAGTCAAGTATACACCACACCATCGCACAGGGGACACCTGGTGGGTGTGAGCATGGGGTGGGGCTGTGGAGTTGTAGACTGGGGTGGTGGGTCTGGATGGTGGGGCCCATTGCCTATGCCCTGCAGGTGCATCTATCCCACCTATGACTACACACACTGCCTCTGTGACTCCATCGAGCACATCACCCACTCACTCTGCACCAAGGAATTCCAGGCCCGGTGAGGGAGCTGGGCCCACGGGGTGGGTAGGGCCAGTGGGATTCCAGTAGCCCTTCCTGTGGTGTCTCTCTGGTCTGAGGTGACCAGACCTGACTCTACCCTCCTATCCCAGACGCTCTTCCTACTTCTGGCTGTGCAATGCATTGGATGTCTATTGCCCTGTTCAGTGGGAGTATGGTCGTCTCAACCTTCACTATGCTGTTGTGTCTAAGAGGAAGATTCTCCAGCTTGTGGCAGCTGGTGCTGTGCGGTAGGTGTGATTGTTTGCCTCGCTGAAGGTTGGAAGTAACTAGTGGTGTATACTGCCAAAGGCTTTCTCACCACCTTCTTGCCTACAGGGACTGGGACGACCCACGGCTCTTCACACTCACAGCCTTACGACGGCGGGGCTTTCCGCCTGAGGCCATCAACAACTTCTGTGCTCGGGTATAACCCAGTGGGCTGGATGAGCAGGTGAGGGCTGAGCAAAGCAGTGTGTGGTTTTGGCTGTGAGTGATGCTGATCTTTCATGATAGGTGGGTGTGACAGTGGCACAGACCACAATGGAACCCCATCTGCTAGAAGCCTGTGTGCGTGATGTGCTGAATGACACAGCCCCACGGGCCATGGCTGTGCTGGAGCCATTACAGGTCATCATCACCAACTTTCCTGCTACCAAGGTAGGTGTGCCTCCACGTGTGATATGTTGTGGGGGTGTACTTAGGTCTGGGTATGGGGATCCCAGTGCCTAGTGTAACTCAGACAACTATCTCCTGCTATAGTCCTTAGACATCCAGGTTCCCAACTTCCCAGCTGATGAGACCAAGGGCTTCCATCAGGTTCCCTTTGGATCCATGATCTTCATTGAAAGGACTGACTTTAAAGAGGTAAGTGGGGGTGTGAAGGGTCCTATTTGATGCTGAGCCCAGTCCTGAGATCTCATCTCTTCTGTCAGTCCACCTACTTCCTACTTCAGATGAACCAGCGCCTGCCAGACATGGGGGTGGGGGAGAAGCCTCTTGTACCTGTTTGGCCCATGCAGTCTTGTGTCCACACCACTTCCTACCTCTAGGAGCCAGAGCCAGGCTATAAGCGCCTGGCGTGGGGCCAGCCTGTGGGCCTGAGGCATACAGGCTACGTCATCGAGCTGCAGCATGTTGTCAAGGTGAGAGCAGGCTGTAGCCTTCCTCCTTCAATGCCTGCTGCGGGGAAGATCTGGGTGCATGCAGCCTGCAGTCCTAATAGTGGTCCCTAGGTCTAATTGTAGGCCCCTTGACTTCCAGGGCCCCAGTGGCTGTGTAGAGAGCCTGGAGGTGACCTGTAGACGGGCAGATGCTGCAGAAAAGCCCAAGGCCTTTATTCACTGGGTGTCACAGCCTCTGACTTGTGAGATTCGCCTTTATGAGCGACTGTGAGTGAACAGAGCTGGGATATAGGGAGATACAAGATGGGCATTGCCTGCTATGGCTACTTAGCTGGAGTCTGATCTTCCTTCTGGCTGCAGATTTCAGCACAAGAACCCTGAGGATCCTGCTGAGGTGCCTGGTGGATTCTTAAGTGACCTGAACCCGGTAGGCTCATTGGGGTGTAAGGTGGAGGGTGGTGGGTCTCCCTGGGTGGATGCCCACCTGAATTCCTTGCCCACAGGCATCGCTACAAGTGGTGGAGGCAGCGTTAGTGGACTGCTCTGTGGCCCTGGCAAAGCCCTTTGACAAGTTCCAGTTTGAGCGGCTTGGCTACTTCTCCTTGGATCCAGACAGCTGCCAGGGACAGGTGCTTGAATTTACCTGTCTGCCCTTTGCACAACAGTGACAGTGCTGGCTGCCATTTACTGTGCTAAGTGCTCTGCCAACATTCCATTAGTTAATCCTTACCACCTGAGATGGGGTTCATATTTTACTGATGAGGAAACAGGTTCAGAGATCCATGCACAAAATTTTGGACCCTGCTTTTCTTACTCAAGGTATAGGGGTCAGGCATAGTGGTTGTTAAAATCTCTATAAAGTGGAGGTCCAGAGCCATCTAGTCCCCTACCCAAAGTCATAAAGTTATTGAGAACCCGAGTGTCCTAAATATCAGCTCCTCTGGAATGGGGTGAGGGTAGGGTCTGGTGAGGTCTGGTCCTCCTAGCCTGGTTCTGGCTTGATAATTCTTCCCCCTCTGCCATCCAGCTTGTCTTCAACCGGACTGTCACTCTTAAGGAGGACCCAGGAAAGGTGTGAGCTGTAAGGAAGCCCCATGGACCTACCTCATGCTTCTGGAGGCTAGGGATACCCCAGACTCCGTGTCAATAAAAAACAGCTAAATCTTCTGGCGTCCGTGTGTTCTCTGTTTGCACTTCCAGCCCCTGAGGACCTTAGAGACTTGCTGGGGGTAGGGAGTAGGTGCACTGCACACAGAGCAGTACTGACAGCTTTGAAACCATTGATGCACTTCTTAGTACTCAAGCGCAGGGACCTGGGCCTGATTGAAAATCCTCTATACCTGGTCTGAGGGACTAGCAATCTCTGGGTGCTTTTCCACTGTTAGGAACCTTTTGCTAGAAGGATCTGGAGGGTTTGTGTCTGCCTGCGTGCCTAGGCAGGTGAAAACACACATGGTTTCAGTCCAGTCATTCAGCAAATAGTCATTAATTGCTTACTACATGCCAGGCACAATGAGAAGAGGAAGACTTGTGCAGTGGCCTTCTCAGTTGACCATCTAGTTGGGGAGACAGAGGGTGACCAGGCACTGTGCAAAAGAGGTCTCCCTGGAGCCTGTGCAAGGCTGGAGGAAGTTCCTGACCAAGCCTGTGCCTCAGACTACTCTCAGGCGGTGATTCCTTAGGGAACCCATAAGGACCAAAGAGATGTTTGCAAGGGCAGGAGGAACAAGTGCAAAGACCCTAAGGCCCTTTTAAGAAAGCCTATAGCAGACTGGTTGCCCTCTGGGACAGTGTTGGCTACCACTGAGGTCCAAGTGTCCCTGCAGCTTTAACACCCTCCACATTTTCCCTGTATACAAACACCAGGCTACCAGAGGCCCGCTTTAAGGTGGACTGGGTCCTGGAAAGCTGGATCAGGACGACAGCAGATTGAGGAGGGGGTTCCCAAACGTTAAAGACTCCTGCAAGAGAGTGACTCTGAGCTTCCCAAGTGAGACGATGATACGGGGGCGCAGGGCCTAGGTCAAGGGCTGTGGGGGCTACCTTAAGCAAGAGAAGGGGCCCCGCCCCACGTGGGGCTGCGCGACTAAAGGAGGCCCAAGCACGCTGCAGAAGGTGGGTCCAGAGAGCAAGCTTGGATCCCCAACCCGCCCAGGCTCCAACTCCCGGCAGATCTCCAGCCCTGGCTCCGCCCAGCATGGAGGGGCGTTCGAGGGCGGGGCGCTCCGTCCTACACTCCTGGCTTTTCTCGCTGTTTCTGCAGCCCGAGGCCCAGCCTCTTGCCTCGGCAGAAGCGTTCCCTTTAAGTTTGGCCAGGAGGCAGCCTCAACTCTCGCGGGATCCGACGCTTCGGTTATCGCGAGAGGGGCATTCGGCACCCATTGGCTGTGAGGGTTGAATGTAAGATGGCGCCCAGGGAGCTGTGAGGGGAAAATCCTGTCGGTCTTGGAGCGGCGACGGCGGAACCGGGGCCCCAAGCGGTGCGGCGGGGCCGGCGGGTAGAGCGGCGGCGGCGGCGGCGGCGACGACGACGACGACGTCGCCGGGTGAGGGCTGCAGTGGGGGCAGGGATGTGGCGAACCTGCGGGCCTGAGACAGCGGGCCCACCCCACACAACGGCGGGCGGGGGCGGGCGGGCGGGCCGCTGCCACTGGGCCCAGGAGACCTCGGGGCGGCTCCGGAACGGAGAATGCCCCTGGGCTCGCGCGCTCCCGCCCCTTGTGGGGTGGGGAGAGGCAGGTCGGGGACTCGGGTGGGCGCGGCGCGCGAACGCGCACTGGTGCTCGCGCGCGGCCTGGCCTGTTTATACGCGGGCGCGCGCGCGCTGTGCGGCCCTCTTGGTGCGCGTGTCCGCCGACGTGCGCGTTCCCGGTTCAGATATCTCCGCTCTTGGAGCTGCGGCCCTTGGGCTAGAGCGGCTTTCTGTGGCGCGCGCCCGCCCGCGACCCCTGGCTTCGGGACGCGCGCCCTGCTGTTGGGTGGTGGCCGCGCCGCCGCCGCGAGGACGCGCAGGACACCTCTGCTGCGTGGAGCGGCGGCGAGCTGGCGGGCAGCTTGCAGTGTGAGGAAGATTGTGGGTTGGGCCCTTCCTGCTCTGGTGACGTCCCCGGACCGCTGCGGCCTAGGCCTGGGGAGAAACCAACCGGCTTTGCCGTCTGACTTGAGGCTCCGCTTCTCTGCGAGGCGGGCGAGATTGCTCGTTCTTCTCGAAGAATGCAGTGACCTGAGGCCAGTGTGTGGGGACGGTGCTGCCCTGTTTCTGAAACTGAGCCCTGTAGGTCTGTGAGGGCAGCGAGCCCACTCGAATGTCCTCACCTTGTTCTGGTGCTTTGTGCTGGAGAGGGAAGGTTAATCCTAGAAGGCTCTTCAGCAGTACCTGCTTTCTTGTCATTGGGAAGTAATTCTTCCTTAAGCGCAATTCCCACACGTCACCTCTGTGCGCTCCGGAAGGGGATCCTTTTCTGTGGTGGTGAAACTACCCGAGCTTTAAGATTCCACTTCACATCTTTAAATGCAGCCTTTTCTTCTGTGTGGGTGGGAGGGGCTTACGTGTACTCTGTTAGACTAAGGAAGGCCCGCTGTCGTTCAGCCAGAAAGTTGCCCAGAACAAAATTAAGTAACCTGAGAAATCTGTGTTTTTGCCATCTTTTATAATTATAAAATTTCCCAACAGAAATTTTAAAAATCTGTTCATGTATCACTGCAGAAGTCACTTTTGATGTAGAATTTCAATCCTTTTCAGGTTTTTTGTTGTTCTGGTGCTAGGGGAGTTCTAGGTTTGTCCTAGAGAAATATGCACTTTTGTCTAAGACAAGACGTCTGACTGTTGTACAGTCTTGCTTAATTGAGTTGAAGGAAAAAGAAGCTGAGAGGAGGTTAAATTAGCAACTAAATTTAATGATGGGGGTCGTTCTTTTAAAATACTGTATTTTAAGAACGAAGTTAAAATTTAAAAAGAGGCTGAGGATGGAAAGGACTTCTTTGTTCTATCTTCTTCAGAATGTTACAAGTCTTAAGAACTCAGGACAAGCAGCAGAAATACATGCAACATGGTGACTGGTGAGTTAAAATCATTCATATGCTGAAATATGTGTGCAGTCTTTTTCCTAGTAATACTGAAACGTTACAAATCCTGCCAATCATCCTGGGTGCTGACAAAGTACTAAGTGCTGGGAAATTGAAGATGTGCATCTTTGAATCCAGCCAGTTTGCTGCTTGAATAATTTTATCTTGAAATGTAAGTCAGTGCAACTTTCAGGTTTTAGCAGGAGGAACCCACCAGCTTTTCTAAGGACCTTAAATGGTTCAAAAAGAAGCAGTAAAGTTTGAGATACACTTAAAATTTTTAATATACCTTTTAGGCCTGCTTGTTCTGGGATATCTTTTTTTTTTTTTTTAACTATTAAGTTTGAGATCTGCCTTTCAAATTGTTTGTAGATAATGTTTTTTTTAAGCTCATTAACTTAGATTTACCTATTAGAAGATGTCCTACTTCCAGCCCTCTGTGATGAATGATTTGTGTACCTTTTCGTGAACCTTTGCTTTTCACATCCCCTTTCTAGTTTATGTTGTTGGTATTTCACACAAAAGATCATATAGGGGTTCAGGTTTCTTACAACTTTGAATTGCTCCCAAAAGGTAACCAAAATAAGTCAGGGGCTTATTAGTTGTAGCTGTCTTCCATTATGACAGGTTCAGAATCAGGGATCTCTTCTTTAAGCTTGCATGCTGTCTTTCGATTTAATCAGTTGTGGTTTGTCCTCCATGTGCCATGCTTCTTGTCTACTTTTTAAATGGCCACCCTTCATCTGTAATGGTCTTTTATTTCTCAGCCTCAGAATGAAGTGTTACATGAACACCTGTTCTATTACTTTGTACTTGGTTGCACTGCATTTTGTTCCAGATGTTTTAAGTTCTCTCCAGACTAAATGCTTCATTTGTCACACTGGATTGTGATTTCCGATTGTGGCTGCATGAAGAAATGATAGATTAACCTTTTGCTTTGCTGAAAAGGGGAAGAGAATGAACCTTTGGTGTCACATTTGAGGCTAGAGCAAAATGGTAGAGCTGGTGAGCTGTGTCAGAAAGCTTTTTTTTTTTTTAACCTATCTGTAAATTCAGGTGATCTGTATAAAATTTAATGAAAAATTATAAATTGAACCACAGCGTAACTGCCACCTCTTCAAGTAGAACAATGGCAGCATCCCAGCACCCTTCATAGGTCCCTTCCTGGTCCTAGTTTCTCAACTACTAGTGCTAATTACCATTCTGACTTCTGTGACAATCATGTACCTTTTACTTTTGTCACCCTTGTATCCCTCAACAACATAGTTTTGTTTGCTTTTGAGTTTTATGTAAATAGAATTGTTCTGTATTTATGTTTTCCTCCTCTAGGCATTGCTAAATTCACCCACGTAATGTGTTATCATAGTTCATTCATTCCAGTTTCCTTATAGTATTCAGTTATATGTTTATACTATAATTTACTTTTGCTTTCTACTATTGATAGACACCTGGATTCCTTCCACTTTGGGACTATTATTAACAATGCTACTGTAAACATTTTTTTTTGTGAACATTTTTTATAGATAGGAGTATCTTTCTATATGTGTACACACCTAGGGATAGAATTGTTGGGTTATAAGGAATGAATAATATCAGCTTTACTGGTTAATGCAAATGGTTGTGCCAATTTATAGTTCATCAGTCTTTGGCAGGAATGTGAATTTAAGTTCCTGATTGAAAGCGTGTTGCCCTAAAACAGAAACCATGGCAAAAATGCCCCTAAATCAGGAACTCCTCTGGTAAAGGCATGGGGCAGATGAATGGTCTGATGGGGTAATACCGGTCACAAACCCTGTATTGGCTTAGTATCTTTAAGAATAGACATGTATCCCAATTTGTTTTTTTTTTTTTGAAATGACTATGTTAATTAGGACAGATGTAACTGTAACTCCTTAAAGTAGAAATTGATTTATTTTTTAATGGAATGTATTCTTCAAACCAGACTTACAAAGCTATGAGCAGCCATTGGTAGAGTAGATGTGAACCATGAGAAGGGCCCAAGAACATGACTGGGTAAACAGGAAGAGGCAGGGCTCTGAGGCAGCTCAGAGTTTTCTTCTCTTAGTTCATCCTCATATTCAAGACCCAATTTGTGGAGCTGCATTGGGAGTGGGAATATCAAAAATTTGGGGACACCCAAGATAAGATGATTCTGGTGAGTACTTAAGTCTTGTCTTAGTACCTCAATAGAAAAAAGAAAGAAATTGACAAAGAGACCTATGAAAATGTAATAGATTGTTGCTTTGGAATAACTTTTTCCATCATACCTGCTTGTGTTCTAATGATAACATGATAAAAGTAAGGGCATCTGGGTGGCTCAGTTTGTTCAGTGTCTGCCTTCGGCTCAGGTTAGGATCCCAGAACTTGAGCCCCACTTTGGGCTTCCTGCTCAGTGGGGAGTCTGCATCTCCCTCTCCCATTCCCACTCCTGCTCCCCCTGCTTGTGTGCATGTTCGTGCCATCTCTTTCTCTCTCTGTTAAATAAATAAAATCATTAAAATTTTTTTTAAGTAATAAAAGTAATGATAACTGTCATACACTCAGGGCCTAAATCTAGTCAGACACTCTGCTAAGCTCCAGTAGAAGGTACAGGGGAAATACTAGTGATTAGTGGGTGAATGAATACAAGTGAAAATTTCCAGGTCTGTTGGTGTGGGGTAGGTATGTTTATTGTTTTGCAAAGCAACTATGCTTAAAAGTATTCAGAAGCAAATGCTTGTTTACAGACATCCCTACCCCCAAAAGCCCCAAAGCGTTTTTCCTCTCTTTCCTTTTTGACTCCCAGAAATTGGGAGTACTCTACTGTCCCTCCAACTTCATGTTTTTCTGATGTAGAAAACATGAAGTATTTTCTGAAGTATTTTAATCAGTTTATTTACTGTTCCTCACCAAATCTTTGACTTGAAGCAAGTTAAGAATCTTGCTTCTTTGGGGGGTTGTAGAGAGTTTATCCATTTCTTCATTACCAGTGCTCACCCTTCTGTTTCTTGTGAGCAGTATTTTGAAGAAGTTAACAGTCTTCATTATTATGCAAGCTGTGGTGCTTCATAATTTTATTTTTTAAAGATTTGTTTATTGGGCATCCCTGGGTGGCTCAGCAGTTTAGCACCTGCCTTTGGCCGGCCCTGGTGCGTGATCCTGGAGTCCTGGGATTGAGTCCCACATCAGGCTCCCTGCAGGGAGCCTGCTTCTCCCTCTGCCTGTGTCTCTGCTTCTCTCTCTCTCATGAATAAATAAAATCTTTAAAAAAAATTATTCATAAAAGACAGAGAGAGGGAGGCAGAGACACAGGCAGAGGGAGAAGCAGACTCCATGGAAGGGAGCCCGATGTGGGGGACTCATTTCGGATCCTAGGATCATGCCCTGAGCCAGAGGCAGATGCTCAACTGCTGAGCCACCGAGGTGTCCCATGGAGTTTCAGATTTTGAGGGAAAAATCATGTTATGATCAGCCATAACTGTTTGTTTCTGTTATTTTTATTGTATAATCACTGTGTAAAAATGATTAATGTTTAATTATCTTTTTGATTTAATACAAATTGTGGAGAATACAAATTAAACAAGAAGAAATTTGAGTTCTCTGTGATTCTACTGCCAAGGCATAACTAGAGTTATTTTGTGTCTCTTTTCCCATTAGGTGTATAAACAATACTGGGATGTATACATAAAATTGTATTGCTTCCCTTCTTATACGTAATTTAAATAAACTTTGTGTTGAGGGGACAAGAAATCTTCCAGATACTTTTTTTTTTTTTAAGCTACTGTATTATAGAAAAATCTGTAGAATGACACAGTAAATGCTTAGGGGCAGACTTTCTTCATATGAATTTGGTATATGATAACCGTGGCATTTCACATCTGGGCAAAAGAATTTAAATAATTCAATAAACAATACAGGGACAAGTTGTTTGCTTTTGGAAAAAACAAAATTAGACTTTTACCTCACGTTATGCAAAATAAATTTTAAATTGATCAAAGCATTATATTAGAAAATCATATTGTAAATTTAAAAATTATAAGTGATTAATGACCTGACCTTATGGTAGGGAAGGCTTTTTCTGAGCATAAAAACAAAAGAAGAAACTGTCATCACCACTATTGAGAATTTAATTTTTCTCAGTGTTTTTTTTTTTTCTCACTGACTAGTCTAAAATATTGAAATATATTTCTGAAGCTTTCCCTCTACCCTCCACCCCCTTCTAAGCACCACTTTTGTGTCAGGTCAAATGCTGACTTAGTGTACTTTCATTATTGGGATGTGTCAGTCTGTTGGATACTGCCAAGTGAGCAGGTTAAAAGGACAAGAAATGAAGCCATGTGTTTTTTAGTCTGTATAAATGGGCAGATTGGAATGTTCTTTAAAATTGGCCTTTTCAGTTAAACGTTTAAGTTCTCTAGGGGGCGCCTGGCTGGCTCAGTCAGTAGGGCATGCAACTCTTGATCTCTGAGTTGTTGAGTTTGAGCCTCACATTGGGTGTAGAGATTACTTAAAATCTAAAAAAAAAAAAAAAAAAAAAAGATTTTTTTTTTGTAAGTTCTCCATTAATCCATTATTGGTTAATATGTTTGGCTTCCTCTGATTCATTGGTTCTCAAATGATTCTGTGGACTTGTACAGAGTCAGTGAAGAACCTCCTAGAGGCTTAGTGAAAGTAAAAAGCAATGAGAATTGGGAAGCAGTGGCTTCTGCTTGAAGCTCCACTGGCTCTAAGTTTGGAGCACCGCAGAGGGTTTTTATACTTTGTAGTCTAAACTGTTTAAAATACAAAAGGTGGTTTTATCGTATAATATTTCAGGTATTTTCACAAGGATACAGAAGAATGAGTACCTATTTATGAGCCTTTAGCAACATTTACTGAGTTTTATAGAATTTTTCCTAGTTCAAGCTGTTGGTGGTTTTTTTTTTTTTAATGAAATCTTAAAAGAATGAACTTTGAGACCTTATAGCAGATATATTTCTAAACTTCTATTTCATTCTTTCTTTTTTTATTTTTTATTTTATTTTTTTTTCTTAATTTCTTTTATTTATTTATGATAGTCACACACAGAGAGAGGGGGGGGGGCAGAGACACAGGCAGAGGGAGAAGCAGGCTCCATGCACCGGGAGCCCGACGTGGGACTCGATCCCGGGTCTCCAGGATCACACCCTGGGCCAAAGGCAGGCACTAAACCGCTGCGCCACCCAGGGATCCCATTCTTTCTTTTTTTAAATTAAATTCTTCTTCGCATAGAATCCACACCCAGTGTGGGGCCCAACGCAAGGCTCCCACTCATGACCCTGAGTTCCTGGCCTGAGCTGAGATCAAGAGTCAGACACTTAAGTGACTGAGCCACCCAGGTGCCCCTTATTCCATTCTTTTTGAGAGCTGAATATCCATGCATCTTATTTGTCTTTTTGGAATAAGTTTATATTTGGACTAGAGTTTCTTATAGTGATTTATTTTAAGATACTATTCTAGAAATACAGATAGGATTTGCTTATATCCCGAGTTTAATTTGGTATGAAATGCTTTTTTCTAAAACTAAATGATTGATTAATTAGAAGCTATACTCCTGGGGTGTCTGGGTGGCTCAGCCAGTTAAGCATCTGCCTTTGCCTCAGGTTGTGGTCCCCAGGGTCCTGGGATCAAGCCCCATATCCGGCTCCCTGCTTATCCGGGAGCCTGCTTCTCCCTCTCCCTCTGCGTGTTGCACGTGCTCTTTCAAATAAATAAAACCTTTTTAAAAAAAGAAGAAGAAACTCTACTCCCTTTGCTAAATGCTTATCAAAAATGGAGGACACGGGAATTTAATTTCCTTCCCTTATGTAGTGGGAAGTCTAGAGATATTTGAACATTAATAAGTCTACAAATAGAGATTTTTTTTTTTTTTTTTTTTTTTTTACAAATAGAGATTTAAAGCTATGAAAGTGGGCAGCCCGGGTGGCTCTGGGGTTTAGCGCTGCCTTCAGCCCAGGGCCTGATCCTGGAGACCTGGGATGGAGTCCCACGTCAGGCTCCCTGCATGGAGCCTGCTTCTCCCTCTACCTGTGTCTCTGCCTCTCTTTCTCTGTGTGTCTCTCATGAATAAATAAATAAAATCTTTAAAAAATTTAAAAAAATAAAGCTATGAAAGTGGTCATGGCAAAAATAACAATGTGATTGGCAGGGGTTGGTGAGAGGAGGAGGATGTTTAAATGACCTAAACTTACCTTTCCTGAAGGACAGGTCAGTATTTAAAATTGGTAGATCAAGAAAGCATACTTACCTGCTTTTTGTGGTGGCGTTGTTTTTAATGTTTCTGTACTATTTGAATATTTCTTCTTAGAAAATGGATGTTACTTTTACTGCCCCCCCCCCAAAGAAAACAAAGAAACCCAGAAAACCTGGTATAATTCTACTCTGAATACTGAAGAAAATTTGTTGCTAGGAGGAGAAGTTGGTGCTTTTTTCCTTTATATTTAATATCAGGCTTCAGATGAGGTTTAAGCCTCCTGATTACCAAAACTTGAAAGAATGAAGGGAAATAAGTCATAGGAAGATTCAGGGCTTGCTTTTACAAAACAATGTTTGTTTGAAGGTTTTCCGATTCTATAAGCTTAATTTGCAATTTTTTTTTGTATTTGTGTGTGTTTGTACTTATTTTCTCCCACATTTGAGACAAAAAAAGGTTTTGCTGCATCGTTCTCTATACTTTTTAAAAAATTGCTGTGACACAGTAGCTATGATTCCAGTACAGACAGTCTCAGACTTCAAGCAGTCTCTCGGAATTTTGTGAGAATACAACTAATTGTTGAAGAAAATAAATCTGGGGAAATGTAAATTTTAGTTGACCACTGTTGTTCTTTTGTAATGGAGGTGGAAAACGGAAATATGTAGCAGCATGGTAGAGAACCAGTTAATTGCTGTTCATATATCTCTCCTTTGTTCCTTTTTGAGTAGAAGGGTAGGTGTGATTAAGTATTTAGAGTCACATGTTGTGAATTTTGTAATGTTGTTGGATCTGTTTTATGAGAGCTCCCTTCTTCAGAAGGAAATTCCAGTCATGATGCTCTTATCAGAGGGGAGATTTGACACATTCATGTCAGTGTGGTGAGTGACTGTGGGTCACCTACACTGGAATGTCCTTCTCTGAATAGGTAACAAAAGGATAAGGTGTTTGGCATTGGTTGTGGTCTTTCTCATTTGTGCCATGGACATCATTGAGAGCTTAATTTCAGAGTCTTATAGCAGACCTCCTAATATTCAGCTCTGAGAGAAGATATCTGGAAAGCCCTTGCAGCAGAGAGAAGGGAGAACTGAGTAAGGGAGATGGTCAGAAGAGAAGTGAGAAAGGGACGAACGAGTTAAATTTCAGATTAGAGGTTGTCAGCAAAGGCTTTAACCTTGCAGTCACCTGACCTGCACTTGCTGTTCTCTGTACTTTATTGTGCTTGGGGTTTCCTGAGAAGTAGAGGCTCTCTTGAGAGTAGTGGCCTAGGATTTGATTTTAGATAGGATAAGGTGTATGTGTTGTTCTTCATGAAGAAATATATTTACAATATACTATATGCATCATTGTAAGAGATTTACTGTTGAGTCTATTCTGTTTGAAAGTACCCAAGTATAATTTGCATACTATATTTACAGTGACCCACAGAAATGTTACCAGTGTTAGTAACTTAATAGCAATAAGGATCATATGTTTCTTTGGTCTCAACACTTGTCCTGGATATATAGGTTCTTTTCCCAAGATATATACTAACCACTTAGCAAGAAAAAGCGTAACTGCTATGGTTATAATTTATAGATGTTACAGGGACAAAGAGCCATAATCCTTTTTTTTTTTTTTTTAAGATTTTATTTATTCATGAGAGAAAGAGAGAGAAAGGCAGAGATACAGGCAGAGGGAGAAGCAGGCTCTATGCAGGGAGCGGATGCCGGACTCGATCCTGGGATTCTGGGATCACGCCCTGGGCTGAAGGCAGACACTCAACTGCTGAGCCACCCAGGTGTCCCTGAGGCATAATCCTTATTTACATTCAATTAGAAATGCAGCATAGATACACATACATGTATGTGCCTACCACATGTGTCAGCCATTCAGAGATAATCGGGACACAGTCTTGTCTGCCAGGATTTTAAAGTCAGGTGGAAGAGCGGAGATGATTAGTCATATCTCTTTTATCTGAACATAAGGTAAAACATCTGGGCAGTGAAAGAGTGACTGGCATTTCTAGTCTTGATGCCCTTCTAGCCTTTCCTTGATGGCTCAAGGAAATCACTTTTCCATTTATGGTTGACAGAGTCCTTTTTGGCAAAAAGGTTCCCTTGGTTTGTGTGATTCTCATATCCTGCTGCTGCTTTTGTTCTGGAGATGGTTCTGATCCAGAGAGGAGGGAATAGTATGAAAGCAGCAGTGGCTGGACATTCAGCAGTCTATAGGTAGATTGCACAGTTGTCTCTCAGGTAATTGAGAATTACTATCTACCCCTGCAGATTCATTCTTAGGGGAAATACTCTAATGAAAAATTTGCACAATTTATTTTGAATTTAATAGTGACCTAGTTATTTAAAGCACTACTCAGCTTCCTCCAACTAATTTTAATATTAGTAGTTACATAGTGCTATCTTTGTCAGGTATTTTTTAAAGTACTTTACATATGTTTAACTTTATGTCAATTATGCTTGATAAATACTATTTTGTCCCCATTTTATACACAAGAAAACTAAGGTTAACTAACTTGTCCAGGGTTTCAGAGCTAAGGAGAGATCAAACTGGGATTTGAATCCAGGCGGGCTAGCTCTAAAATCCATGCTTTGATCAGGAAGCTGTGCTACAAATGAATGTGAGCAGTATATGGTAAATGGATTATTGGTGTTTCTGTTGGGAGATGAAGTATAATATATATTTTCTTTTTCAAGGGTCTTGCTATACAGCTAGATGGCATATATGTTCTTCACTCTAGGACATAGTTGGCAGCAGAAACTGAATACGCCAGAAGAATCCTTGCTCCTAGCTTCCTTGGTAGTCCTCTCTGTGATGGTCACAAAGTAGTTTTGCATGTGACTTGTATTGTCCAGTGCTTGGCTCCAAGAAGATGGCATTGGCCTAGTGCTGGGTGGAGAGTGTGTTTTCAGTCTGTTTAATCCAGTACTGTGACGCATGCCTTTGTTTTTTGTTTTCAGTGTGATAGTTTGATTTAAGAAATGTTAATAGAAACATTTTAAGACACTGTTAACTAAAAAAAAAAAAAAAAGTATAGTAAGTAACTTTATTTTGGATTCTAGATGTACACAGTTCTCCTGAATATACCACTCTGATGCAAGAATGATTGCTTTTTGCATTTCAAAATATGAAAACAATAGCATAATTTTGACTTCTGGTCATTTATTTTATTTCTAGGAACCCTAAGGACTCTGCAATATGAATAATTCTCTGGAGAACACCATTTCCTTTGAAGAGTACATCCGAGTGAAGGCTCGGTCTGTCCCGCAACACAGGATGAAGGAATTTCTGGACTCACTAGCCTCAAAGGGGCCAGAAGCCCTTCAGGAGTTCCAGCAGACAGCTACCACTACCATGGTGTACCAACAGGGTGGGAACTGCATATACACAGATAGCACCGAAGTGGCTGGTTCTTTGCTTGAACTTGCCTGTCCAGTCACCACCAGTGTTCAGCCACAAACCCAACAAGAACAGCAGATTCAGGTTCAACAGCCACAGCAGGTTCAGGTAAAAAGGAAATGTTGAGGCGCATCCTGTTTAATAGGTTTTATTTGCCATCAGGGTTTTGGTTAGTAGGAACATCACATCTTATATACAAATGTCCAAGGTTATTTTCACTAAGGGGAGTATTCTGTTTTTTAAAAACATTTTATTTAACACAAAGGCTTTCATACTACAGACTAAAAATGTTTGCAACCACCAGAAAATAAAAAGACTACAGATACTTGCCATTTGATTTGGAGAATTAAACAGTACAGGAATTAGAGGTCTTCTGGGACTGGATTTGGATGTGACACAACTGTGAAGGTCCCCTTTTATCTATATCACCCTGAACAGATCAAGAGCAAAGGAGGGGCTCATCTTAGCTCATTACTTTGGAACTTATTTTAAAATATATATGATACATTTTAGTGATCTTCATTTAGTTGTATGGTTCCATGATTTAGGTCACTTGTAGATTTCTAGGTTTGCATTTACTATTTGTAATCCTCAGGAAATAATGCTAATTGATAATGAGCTTTCACAAAGAGGAGAAACTAATACATTGACTGGGAAGGTAAAAGTGCCTCATGTGAAACTAACAGTATGCTCCATTTACAAATACTGCTTTCTTGCTCCTTGCCCTCAATGCTTTCTCCACCAAGAGAATTGGAAAGGGTAGAACCTGACAGAGGGGCAAGAACTATGGAGAGGTATGTCAGGTGATATAGAAAGACTGTGGCCTCTTTGCTCCTTAGGAATGCAGGTAGTTATATTGGAAGGACATGGCCTCTGGAGTTGCATTCCTGGGTTTAAATCTGGCTTAACCTCCTATTTGTTGACATGATTTCAATCTTTTTAGCTCTAGATTTTTCATCTGTTGAATAGGGATAGTAACTATTTAGTGAGACTGAGCCAGATAATAGATAAGAAAACATCTGGCACTTGGAGGAACACAGTCTTTGTTATTTCCATTCGTTGTAAGGAAGGAGGGGTACAGGAAAGGTAGATAAGAGAAAGCTGACTTTTTGGTTTGAGAAATTATTCTGCTGTTATACAGCTTGGACTTCCTTTTTTTATAAGATTAAAATGGCTTAGGATCAGGGCATCTGACTGGATAAATCCTTAGACCATGTGACTCTTGATCTTGGTCGTGAGTTCAGACCCCATGTTGGGTATAGAGCTCACTTTAAAAAAATAGGGAAAGGGGCGCCTGGGTGGCTCAGCAGTTGAGCGTCTGCCTTCAGCTCAGGGTGTGATCCCGTGGTACCGAGATGGAGTCTCCTATCAGGCTCCCTTGATGGAGCCTGCTTCTCCCTCTGCCAGTGTCCCTGCCTCTCTCTTTCCGTGTGTCTCATGAATAAATAAATCTCTAAAAAAACAAAAACAAACTAGGGAACCAAGTGGTTTGGGATTTGAGTCTAAAGTGTTGAGACTTTATGTTTAGGATGGCTGGTTGAGGTCACTTATTAACATCATATTCTTTCCCCAAAAGCTCTATAAATAAAAGAAGAAATGTGAACATAATAATAAATCCATGAAATAGGAGTACTGAGCATAGAGCCTGCTTAAGATTCTCTTTCTCGGGGATCCCTGGGTGGCGCAGCGGTTTGGCGCCTGTCTTTGGCCCGGGGCGCGATCCTGGAGACCCGGGATCGAATCCCACATCGGGCTCCCGGTGCATGGAGCCTGCTTCTCCCTCTGCCTGTGTCTCTGCCTCTCTCTCTCTGTGTGACTATCATAAATAAATTTAAAAAAAAAAAAAAAAATTTAAAAAAAAAAAAAAAAGATTCTCTTTCTCTCCCTCTGCTGCTCCCACCACTTGTGCTCCCTCTCTCTCACTTAAAACAAAAAAAAACAAACTCATAAGGCAAATATATTTTCATTAATAACTGGCTTAAGCCAGATGGGATTTAATTTTTCTAAAAGTTAGCTTTGTAGATTTAACTTAAATATTGATACTGATGTTACATGAAAATTGACATTGTTAATCTAAAGCTACCAAAATCATAAGCCAGACATAATTAATAAAAATGTGACTGAAGATACAACTTTTTTTGTTTGTTTGTTTATTTATGAGAGATGCAGAGAGAATCAGACATAGGCAGAGGGAGAAGCAGGCTCCCTGTAGGGAGCCTAATTCGGGACTCTGTTCCAGGACCTCCAGATCACGAGCTGAGCTAAAGGGCAGATGCTCAACCACTGAACCACCCGGATTTCCTGAAGATACAACTTTATATAAGACTTTGAAGAACGTATTTTTTTTTTCTGAGTAACATTAGAATCAAATATTGCCTTGTAGTTACAAAATTATTTTACAGGGGCACCTGAGTGGTTTAGTTGGTCAAGTATCCAACTCTTGATCTCAGCTCACGTCTTGATCTCAGGGTTGTGAGTTCAAGCCCAGCTTGAAAGCCCAGCTCCATGCCCACTTAAAAAAACTCCCAAATTATACACACATGTTGATTTCTTGATCTCTTTTATAGGTCTACCTATACTGTTTAAAAGCATAATTTTTAAAATTAAAGATAGCACATAAAAAAAAAAGATAGCACATGAAGCATAGAGAGGTTGTCTTTTTTTTTTTTTAAGATTTTAATTACTCATGAGACACAGAGACAGAGAGAGAGGCAGAGACACAGGCAGAGGGAGAAGCAGCCTCCATGCAGGGAGCCCGATGTGGGACTCGATCCCTGGTCTCCAGGATCATGCCCTGGACTGAAGGTGGCGCTAAACTGCTGAGCCACCTGGGCTGCCCGAGAGGTGAAGCCTTGTATCAGTATCTGCTGTTTGTACCCAAGCTGTTATAACTGGAGTCTGTGCTTCTAAATAGTGTTTCTAATATGCCAAGAAGTCTTAGAAAGTAGAAAAAAATGATAGTAACAAAATGAACAGAGGGGTGGCGCTAATAACCTTATCAGAAGATGTTTCATACTACTGGTGATTATGGAAGTATAAATTTTATTATTTTTATTTATTTATTCTTTAAGGATTTTATTTATTTACTCATGAGAGACACACTGAGAGAGAGAGAGAGAGGCAGAGACACAGGCAGAGGGAGAAGCAGGCCCCATGCAGGGAGCCTGACGTGGGACTCGATCCTGGGTCTCCAGGATCACACCCTGGGCTGCAGGCGTCTCTAAACTGCTGTGCCACTGGGGCTGCCCTGGAACTATAAATTTAAAAGTTAAATATATTTCATTTATTAGATAGGATAACATTTATAAAGATTTCACCCAGGACAGCAAGGGTATGGAGAGGATAAATTAGTGTAACTTCTTTAAAGTGATTTTGGCAATACTTGTGAGATGTGTAAATGTGCATACCTTTGGCCTTGCATTTGTGTTCGCAGATATATTTGTATACAGGGATATTCACTGCTGCACTGATTATAGAAGTAACTAGAAACAAGTCAATAAGGGAAATGGCAAATAATGATACAATTTTAGTATACATTCCTCTGTAGCCAGAAGAATGAGGTAGGTCTGTGCATATTGACAGGGTAGGATGTTTAACAGATTGTCAAGTGTCAAAACTAATTTAGTATTGCTGATTTTTTTTTAAGATTTTATTTATTTATTCATGATAAACATGGGGGGGGGTAGAGACACAAAAGGAGAAGCAGGCTCCATGCCGGGAGCCTGTTGTGGGACTCGATCCCAGGACTCCAGGATCACACCCTGTGCCAAAGGCAGGCGCTGAACTGCTAAGCCACCCAGGAATCCCCAGTATTGCTGATTTTTAACATGTATAATTTAGTGGTCCTTGAATAAGAGTGAAGTTTAAAACAGTAATTGGAAAATAAATAAAAAACAGTAATTGGGCTTGGGAATAGGGTGCTAAGGAGACAGATTTCCAGTTTTTATTTATTTATGTATTTGTTTTTAAGTAGGCTGGGCTTGAATTTTTTTTTTTAATTTTTATTTATTTATGATAGAGAGAGAGAGGCAGAGACACAGGCAGAGGGAGAAGCAGGCTCCATGCACCGGGAGCCCGACGCGGGATTCGATCCCGGGTCTCCAGGATCGCGCCCTGGGCCAAAGGCAGGCGCCAAACGGCTGCGCCACCCAGGGATCCCTGGGCTTGAATTTTTAAGTAAACATGAGGGAGTGCCTAGATGGCTTAGTTAATTGAGTGACTGACTCTTATTAGTTTCTGCTCAGGGGCTCAGGTCATGGTCTCAGGTTTGTGGGATTGAGCCCTGCATCTGGCTTCTCGCTCAGTGGGGAGTCCACTTCTCACCTACTCACCCAGCCCCTCTTCCTGCTTGCATGTGTATGTTCTCTCTCTCAAAATAAATAAATCTTTTTTTTTAATTTATAGAAATATCTACTTTTAAAATTTTATTTATTTTTATTTTTTTTAGATTTTATTCATTTATTCATGAGAGACACACAGAGAGGGGGGTGGGGCAGAGACACAGGCAGAAGGAGAAGCAGGCTCCACGCAAAGAGCCCAATGTGGTACTCAAACCTGGGAATCTGGGATCATGCCCTGAGCCAAAGGCAGGTGCTCACCCACTGAGCCACCCAGGCGTCCCATAAAGAAATCTTGAAGATGGGGCAGCCCCGGTGGCTCAGTGGTTTGGCACTGCCTGCAGCCCAGGGCATGATCCTGGAGACCCAGGATCGAATCCTACGTTGGGCTCCCTACATGGGGCCTGCTTCTCCCTCTGCCTGTGTCTCTGCCTCTCTCTCTCTCTCTCTGTGTGTGTGTGTCTCTCATGAATAAATAAATAAAATATTTAAAAAAAAAGAAAAAAATCTTGAAGAAAAACTAATATTGTATTTAAAGAGAAGTCCTGGGGCACCTGGGTGGCTCAGTCTATTAATTGCCTTCAGCTCAGTTCATGGTCTCAAGGTGCTAGGATCAAGCCCCACGTTCAGCTCCCTGCTTAGCAGAGACTCTTCTCCCTATGCCTCTTTCCCCTTTTGTGCTCTCTCTCATTCACTCATTCTCTCTCTAATAAACAAATAAAATCATAAAAATAAAAAGAAAAGTGGGAAGTATTTTGCTTTGAACTTACA